AGCATCTTTACTTGTAGAAGTCACTCCATTCCTGATGGGGTTTTTTTGCCATTTCTTAATCTTAAACTGGCATCTTAAACTAATCAGTTGCTGTTACGAGGTCTTTCTGCTTACAAGGAAGAAAATATAGCAACATAAGGAGTACAATAACAGGACAAGACCATGTCAAATATAGTTCCTCTTATCCATCTTATCATTATATGTTCATAAAGCGTGAGATACCACCTGGCATAAATGAAAAATTGGAGAAGTCTGATAGTGCAATTTCTTCAAAAATTGCCAAATTTGAAACAGTCTCCAAAAATGCCAGGTATGTTCAATACTACATTAAGAAAGATCTTGGGTTTATTATAGTAGCTGCCCTGCTACCCACTGAACAGAACATACATTTATAAAGCACATTGAGACATGGGGCTGGGTAAGAATCAGAAAACCTAATTTTTGCAGTGAGTCCAGCAGGATATTTTATTTTCCATGATCTGTAGCCAGAGTCAGCAATGAGTCCTGACTGGTGTTGGAGGTCACAGTAACATTTCTTCTGGGGATAGGAGATTGAGCCTGGGGCTGGGTCTTCCTGTGGATGAAAGCTGTGAAATGCTCAATCGAAGGTGCAATATTTCTGCCACTGCTAGGACATGTTGAATGGAGTGAAAAATTAGAAGCTGCTGAAACAGCTGCCACCTGCTTTGTGCTGGAAGATTTTGGTGTAGTAAAGTCTTCCTCTGTGTAGGGTGGCCGGAGTCTGCAATCTTAATAGACTGTCTAGTAATCTATCAGCAACATCAAACGGACTGAGATGGATATAGAGAAGGAAGAACTTTCTAAGTTATAAGGAACCACACCCTATTTCTATTCAATAAACATTAAACTGCATCCAAAAGAGATGCGTTTTTCCTAGCCTCATTCTGGGTGAAAATAGTCACTCTGTGGCATTCAGAAGCATAAACTTAAAATGCCTTACAAACATGACTAAGATATTATGTAAAAGAACATTTAAATCTACTGGCCAACACCAGTAACGATGAATAATGTTTTCAATCCTGTTAAAATCAAGTCGTGCATTGGAAAAACAAATAGATCATTTGTGCAGACAGTAAACTGCAGCATTTGGCTTTTTCTTGCAGATGGAGTGACATAAGGAATCTCAGCGACATGTGCCTGGAGAGCGTAACGTGATGTCACTGTGTGACATTAGTGCTTGCACTAATGCAGTCTAGGCAGGAGGGGAAGGGGCAGCGTGAGACGAGGCAGAGCGTCACTGCTGAGCCCCCCGCCCCAACAAGCCACTGCTCCCTGTTTCAGCAATCCAGCACTGATGGAATCTCTGCCTGGCACTAAGCCTCGTCCTGTGCCCTGCCACGAAACCCCGACCTGTCTGTGCCAATGCTACCGTTTCCTCTCAGTTGGGGGCCCCTAAGTTTAGGAGTTACTGTAAAGGCAGGTGAAGCAGCATCCAAACACCCTCCTGCGACAAAACCGTGAGTCGAGATCTGCTTCGCCTCAGGTGTGAAAAGGCAAAAGGCTTTCTGCCAGCCGTGCCAGAGGTGAATGCTGCCCCGTCTGAAAGCATTAAGTATTTTGGGGGCATGTATTTAAAAATGCTTATTTTGCACATTTCACATTTTAGAATATTATTTTACGTGCTTTCAGCAATATCAGATGTATGAAAAACGTAAAGGGCTCAGGATTCCTGATGTTTCTGAGGTGAGAGAGAGTTTCAAGGCAACTGGCAGTGGGCTAAGCTCATCATCAAAGCAATTCCTGCAGTGTGGAGACAGCCTTACACCGGTGCTCAGACCCTTTTGAAAAATCCCACTCAAGCCTTTCAAACATGTATTTTGAGTTGCAAGTGTTGGACTGCAGAAGCCTATTCACATAGTTCTGCTTGTGCTGCAACCAGCAAGAAAAATTGTCCTTTGACAAGTGGTAGTGCTCAATGAGAACAGGATTAGGTAGTCGTTAGCAAAAATTAAAATAGCTCGGAGTTGAGAGGAACTGGTGGTTTTGCTTCTACTAAAGACTATATACTGAACCAATGTGAACAGTTACTCTAGGGACAATTTTGTGTGTTTTTTATTTACAGAAAAACTTTGTATAAAGCAGAGAAACAAGCCGAGTTGCCTTCCTGGGTCAACTGCTGTTGTTTTTACACAAGCAAAATATATATTTAATTGCTTGTGCTAAGAAGTGTTTGCATACTGAAATTGGAATATCTTGCTGCAAAACAGCTTTCAATTTATATAAATATTTTAAACTACAGTCATCAGACCTCTAGCTGGTGTGAATTGTCAGGACTTCTTTGAATTCAAAGTAGCTATAGCAATTTTTAGCAGCAGTGGGTCTCCCACTAATTGGAATTCCTGCTGATCCTCAAGGTGTCAGTTTGGCTCGTATTTGTTTACAAAGCTCAGTTCAAGTAACTAAGCTTCATACTTAGGCTATACATAGAAGCTGTAAATACTCATTGCCCCTGGAAATTAACCGTCTTATTTGGATGGCTAAATGAAGAGTGTTATACTTAATGAGCCACAATTTAAAAGTATTTGAGCACTGCTTTAAATTTCCCATCTCTAAACAAAGAATAACACCACACACAGAGACTTGTAAAGATACTGTATCCTTAGTGTTTGTGAGATATTGTTTGGGAAGAGGTGTTTTAAATGCAATCGGACAGGACATTTTTAAATAAAGTTTATTAATATATTAACTTCTAATGCAGCACACAACCTGCCCATAGCTTTTTTGCAAGAATTTTGACTTTCTACAGACCAGTCCGTTCCTCAGGGGCACCCACCGTCCTGGTGGATCCTCATTCAGGCCTGGGCACTCAACTGAGATGGCCAGTCACGTCCTTTTTCTGATAAGCATGTATATAGCAATGGAAGAGCTTAGCAGGAAAGTCTGAGACACCCACTGTAGAAGAGCTAATATTGTTGTGAAGACTCACAACTTGAATACTGGTAGTTCTTTATTTAATGTAAATGCTGGGTAAGCTATCAGAGCAAGTGCCAAGGACTCTATTTTGTTTGAACTACCAGCTACATGTGAAAATGTCTTGATGTGTGCTGTGCTTCAGTATTTGAATACAATTTTTTTCATATAAATAGCATTACAGTATGCAAACCTTTATAAATCCCAGTACAAAAATTATCCCAATACAATTTTTGAATGCATTTAAAAAAACACGATTTCAAAGTTGGCCCTTTGTCATTAAAATTTAGGTTGCTTTTCTTGTAAAAATGCTCTTGCATTAGCTCTCTTTTTTAATATTTGCATTATTGATGCTTCAAGCCTTCTGAGTATAGAATGATGTAAGCTTTGGCTACATCTTCCTTGTTAACGGAGTGCTTGTTTCATTCCTAATTTATTAAACATATTCAGCCAGTGCCGCGCAGCTTTACACTTAATTTCTCTTGATGAATTGTCAAACATCCTTAAACTGCGCCGCGTTTGTTACAATCTGCCATCAGCACTTTTCAAAACACGGTTGGAATAAACAGCTCAGAAGACAGGCAGGTTTTAATTTTTTGCTTGGTAAGGTTGCATTTTAATTTTTCCCGTTTAAAATCATTTGAATTGATGATATGAACAAGCTGGAAAGCTGCACCCGCTTGCGTTTCACTAAGTACGTCTGAGACAGATCCTCAGCTGCGTCCGGGAAGCGCGAGGCTGAGCGGCGAGGGGAGGCTCGCGGGCAGCCGTGGCCTCCTCTTCCCAAGCCACCTGGGCTGGGTACGGATTAGTTCATGAGAGAATAACTGCAATTCACAAAACTGAAATAAGGTCACCGAGCTCGGCTTCACCGAGCTCTCCCTCTGCCTCGTCCTGGGGGACGGCCCCCTCCAGCCTGCGCCAGGAGCACCGAGGGGCTTGCCTGGGAGACGGCTGCGTCAGCAGGTAGCTGCAGGGAGGGATGTCCAAAGTGCAAGGAAGAAAATGAGCTTTGAGTTGCTGGAGACGCGTCATCAGTGGCCGACGCATCGCTGGCTGTGACGTTGTGGTCTTGGGAAAGTTTGTTCCTTCAGTGAACTCCTCCTGCAGATTCACCGCCGCATTCGTGGCTTCGCTTCCCATTGCGCAGTAGTTTACCGATCCCCACTTTTTTCCAGGCTCTATTTATATAGGAGTATATATACAACAAACTTATATGACAATGTAGTCATGGATTTTGCTGGAATAAAAAGCCGATCCCTGTATTTTGCCAGTTAGTCCGTAGCTTGTGTATGGCCCACCTATGGTGCTTTGATCACTGAACATTCAGGTACTCTTCGTCTGAAGTTTGCTGTACATTCAGAGAACCTAAGGTTAAGCAGAGGTGGCATCCCGCTGCACGATGTGACTTCTGAGTGACTGAGCGATTTCTGAGGCTTTCAAATCCTTCTGGGAGGGCTTTGTGAAAAGCCTTTTAGAGGGTCAGGGTCTCTGCTTCTGCCTCAGTAACCGCAGTGGTGGCACCAGAGGTTCTAGGACAATATGCTGCGCAATACGGCCGCAGTTTAAACAAAGCTGTCTCTGTGTGCGTAGAGTCTCATTAGTGAGTCATGTTATTTTTGCACATCCTGCTTGTTCATTATTTCAAGTGAACAACATCCCCAACGCCAAGCAGTGAAACAACAGTGCCGCCGTCTGTAAAGATAACGGCAGAATTTCACCAAGAATCTGCCCAGGATTCAGGGAAGTATTTTGCTATCTAACGTGCCAGCTACACTGAATTTATGGGACTGAGTTCAGGAAAGGGATTCGGGAAAATGTCAAAGCTGATTAAATAGCTAAGACATTTAAGTTTTCCTGGCAAAACTCTACCGGTTACCTAAAAGATTGTTATTAAATGCTCTCAGCAGAGATCCTGCCTTTGTCGTAATGAGTACTTAGGGACCTGTCTGTGCCTTTATGCCATTTAGTATTCAAAAGCAGATATTCTGGGACCTGACTTCACGGGGGAGGTCTCCTTCGTTACGTGTGCTCAGGCCAAAGCCGAGTCCTCTGAATTGCATTCGCGGATGGTGCTGAGCAGTGCTGACGGGTGATGCTTTCCACCCATCCATGAACCATGTGCATCCAGAGATTTTGGGAGCTGAAAGACTTAAACAAAAAGCAGCTGTGGCTGAGACTGTGGATACTTACTCAAGTCTCATCAGGCTGGAGAGAGCGTTTTCTATCTCTTGCGTGTATTCAAGCTCCGGGCATTAGGCTGTTGAAAACAGGCTTGATTTTAACCTACAGGACGCATTTTGTGTTTTAGTTTCTGGTTTCTTAGGGATGCTGAGTTGCTGTGCTGAGACAGGTGCTTAAAGCATTGCATTAGGCAGAATTCGGTGCCCCTTCCCGTGCTGTTCCCCTATGGCTGTCTCAGATTTCCAGCAGTGCTCGTGACGTTGGCTGCTGTGTCCCCTAACCTGGGCTTCTGTCTCATTCTCTTGTGGTGCAGGGACCTTGGTGTGTCTCTATCAGCCTTCGAAATGCCCCTCCTGTTGTTGAGCATGTAATTGCTAGGGACCACAGTGCTGCATGCCATAGCGTTCAGGTCGTTCGGTGAATGCCTGCCTCAGTGCTTCATACGGACTGAAGTCCAATGGACGGGTTGTCTGTTGGCCATTGCTGTGACCCAAACTCACTGGAACTCAAAGCAGATCTCTGCCAGCTTCCCTGGGCTTTGGGCAAGTGCCCTACTGTGATTCTTTTGGGTAGCAGATGAGATATCCCTGTCTGGAATCATAGATGCTGTTTTGCAAGGGTCTGGGTAGTTGCACTGTAATCTGTCTGTGCAGTTTAATCTTTTGCCAACTGTGAAAAGCGTATCTGCAGTTGGCACAAGTAGGCTCTTCAAAAAAAGAAGTGGCACTGATTAACATTTTAAACTGCTTATTACTATTTATTTATGGGGAGATAGAAAGTGATTTTAAATGAATAAGAATGATTTAATTCTCATCAAGTTTTTCATACTATAATTCTGTAGGCAGCTTAAAAAAAGCTGTTATCCGTACATTGAAATCACTGTCCCTGCACTCAAGTAATTGTGAAATGAGGTATCACTGTAATGCAAGGGCTGCAGTTTTGGCTGAACTGGTTTGACTATTGCATACAAGGATTCTGTTTTCTTCTGAGTAATGGAAAAGGCAGGATTGTGCAGTGACAGCAAGGATTAAAAGTCAAATATTAAGGCACTTGCCTGCTTTCTATTGTTAAACACTTACTCTTGCAAAGATCTCAATTCTTCTACTGAGGAACACATTGTTCTTCAGTGGGAGTTTTGATTAAGTGTGGTATTGAGGATACAGTCCTATTTTTTGATGATGGAAGGACAGTTTCTGCCATGGATACTCAAGTTTCAGGATGTGATCCTCTGTGGCAGAATGAAGCACCATCTAGGATGAGTATGAGTGATCTAGCCTGGCTCTGACGTGTCAGGTATATAATTTTCAACGTAGTCACCATTGCACTTACCAGGATCTCGGTTACAACATTTCTGTGGGAGATGAGATACAGCAGTGTTGAGCAAAGGTTCTCTGTGTTTTGCTGACCAGAAGGAAATTATTTATTTCCACATGTTGAGGTGGACCTGGATAAAGCAACAGAGAAAGCAGTGTGAAACTAACCTGGTTTTACATGGCCTACTAGACATGATGAGGACAACAATGTGTTACATTTATAAACAATATCGTTTAATTTCAGAGCAATGATTGCAGCTCAAATCCACATTTACTTCTTCATCCTTTTTATTTCCGTTTCTCTATTGTGCTGTGAAACTGTCTATGGATATGGCTAATAACCCGGCTAAATAACCCTCTCATGAATGGGTTTCATTTATTTATTTATTACTCTAGGATTACTATCAACCAGCTGCAGCTTCTCTAAATGACCGTGGGAAAATTTTCCTTGATAATCTTTAATGCTTTGAAAGATAAATTCAAACATTTGGCAAGTGAGAGGTCTC